GTATGCCTTTATAAAATCACTGTTGTCGTTGTCAAAATGTGGATTATGTATTACATCTAGAATACTAGTTCCACGTTGTCTTTCGAATAGATAATATAAACACCAATAACCACAGAGAACAGTATTACGATTTTGTATTTCATCTGTTGAGTAAATTATTCGTTTTTTAGCTGTATGAAAATACACCAGTGCTTCATTTGGCATTATTAAACCAAATGGATCGAAGTACTCAGCTACATTGTCTATATTTCTATAACAAACCCAATGTGTTCCAGGACCTGTTATATCATCTAGATTAATTATTCAACATTCTTTTTTGATTTTGTTTGGTAGCCCATCGCGACTATATATTCCTCTAAAATGTTTAAAACCAAGTTTTTTTACCCAATCCATGAGGTCGAAGTTGGATAGAGGTTTAATTACAAAATGGCCCCTATTAATGGAATTGAGTTGGATGGGCTGTTTTTTCCTAGTAGTAGGCCTTTTCCTTTGGACTTGGACTTTTTTTTTTTAACTCCCATTCCAATTGGGTTGTTCCATGTACCTAAAAAAGGTGGTGGAAAGTGATAAGGATAACCTTCACCATGTGTTGGTGGGGGAGGAGGATGTGGAACGTAAACATTTGCTGTATTAGATGATCCATGTCTATCAACCTGCAGTCCAGATCGAAACATCTTAGAAACTAAACTAATTGCCATTGGATTTCCAATGGATGCAAGAGTTCCAAGAAATCCTCCTTCTATCTGTTTACGAGTTGGTTTAATAACCAGTCGACCTCCTGTTTGATAAGCTTTGTTAATTTGATTTATTTGAGATTTGGTAAATTCTCTTACAAGAGGTGGTAACATTGGGAAAAACTGTGGGGGAATTGTGATTCCTTTTCCAAATATTTTATTTAATCCAATTTCTCCAAGTGCAGTGGCAGCACCAGTTGCTAATGCAGGAACAACTTTTGAAACTCCTTTAATTGCGTATGGTAGTACTCTTGCTCCAAGAGATGCTAGTGATGAAAATAAGTTTCCTCCATGTTTTACAGAACGTCTAATTTGTGTTTTACTTATCTTTATATCTGATCCTGTTCCATTTCTCAGTGATTTTTTAATTTTAGTAATTTGTCTTTGGGTTAGCATTAACTCATCAGAACCTCGAAGATGAGAATGTTTTAACCGAAGAGTTAGTGGTGTTTGATTTATTATTGCAGAAGCCAGTTTTGAGTTTTGTCCATCTGTAAGTGTTACTCCGTATTCAAAATAAGTAGTCATTTTTTTATTATAATATTTATATTAAATTGATTTCAGGAAATTTAATTACATCACTTAATCTTTTCTTCTTTGGTTTAGGTTTATTATATTTTTTTATTGTATTTTCACCCGGTTGGTGGGTAACATTATCATATACTATAATTAGATTTTATCTTCAAATCTAATTATAGAAAATTGCATTGTCATTAGAACCTTCTAGAAGGTTATTGTTATATATCACGAGATTATCGTGTGATTTTTTCAACCAATCAAATGATTACACAAAATTTTCTACAACTTGTATAAAATTCTGTGAAACTTTAACAGCTTGTGTAAAATTTTGATTATGCCTCTCACTTTGAGACAGTTGGAAGGTCGCAGGGATGCCTGTATTGAGAAAATTCGGGAATTAAAAGTTACCATTTTTATTTTATTTTTAGATTAAGCCCTAAGCAATAGTTTTCCATCTTGTTGTGATATTTCTGCTATTCTTTCATGTAAGACTAATGCGTAAATATTATAATCAGCGTTTGGATTAGCAGATAATTCGTAATGAAATGCTAATTTTGTAACACCATCTTTGATATCCATTTTTTGTTTTGTTAGGTCAAAATAAACAAAAGGAAATAAAGTTTTGAAATTACTTATATTAAGTAATGTTCCACCTTGATAATCATTATTTGCGTAGACGTATGACATTACATTTCTAAAAACTCTTGACATATCTGTAGAAGGTTTAAAGTGAATATCCGGGTATTCGTTTCCATTTGCAACTTCCAGGTAACATCTTGATATATTAGCATTATTTGGTAGATTAAAAGTGTTGTATAAAAATGGATTTGCTGTTTGTGAATCAATTCTTGCAGTATTAATTCCAAAAACAAATACATGTCTTGGCTTTGAAATAGCATTTGTAATTCTAAAATGCCCTGTCTGTTGCTGTGTATTATTTGATCTTTCAACTACTTCATTCAAATATGACCATTTGTAAGGTTTAAGATAATTTTCCATGTACAACTTTTGCCCTTCCGAATTAAACGTAAGTTTTGGAATAAAAAGTTGTAGTCTTGTTATAATAACTCTACAATCATCAGCAGCTTGAAAAATTAAATTTGCATCTTTTTCAATTTCGATATTTAGCTCAATTTTTGTATTTGGAAGTAATTTATCTTCCAATGCTTCAAATAAAGAATATCTACTAAGAGGAATTTCACAGTTTACTGTGGCTGATGCACCTAATAGTAATTTTCTTTTATGAAAACCTTTATTATAAGTTGCTTGAGCAGGTCTTTCCTCTGCAGATGTTGATGTATCAAGAAAATAAAATTCGTTTGTAGCAACACTCTCAGCATATGAAGGATTATACTCAAGAAGATTTTTAATATTTACAACATGATTTGCATAATTACAACTATAAACTTCTCTTCCATTTGCCAGGATACTTAATTTTTCTATAAATGAGTTACTACCATTTACAATTCCGTTATGGTCAGCAACTGCAATGTTTCCTCCATCTGCCAGCTTATTTACTTTAAAATCCATTGATAATCGAGCGTTATACCAATCAAAAGGAGTGGTTTCTCCTGTATTATCAGCAACAAATCTAAGACCTGTTTTAGTTTGGTGAGCTGCATTTGCTGGAGCCGCATCTAGAGTCTGTTCCAGGTCGAAAACAACATCCTCATATCTATCTAAATATTTTGGATTTCTAAATGACTTCATTTTATTTTAATAATTATATAATTTTCTCTTACGTGTTGAACCTCCACTAAGAAGGTTATTCAATCTTTGATTTATCTCTTGTTGAGTCATTGTTTCAACATTTTTATTAAAAGTAACTTTTTTGTTGGAGGGTGCAGCCTTTTCTTTTGATAACATTTGCACTATTTTATCACCAGCCTTTTTACCTACATGTTCACCAGTTTTTGTTGCAGCCATTGTTACCGCTTTTTTAACGCCCCTTTTAGCAGCTTTTTTCATTGTTTTTCCAAATATTTTTTCACCAACCGATTTAAACACATCCATCATTCCTTCTCCATAAATATGTTGTCTTGTATATCTACCCAATTCAGGGTCAAGTCTCATTTTAAACTCTGATTGTCTCATCATTTTATTTTAATAGTTATATTACATCGAGTGAAGTATCAAAGTCATAAACCAATCTATACCGTTAAAACTTACTGGTCTTCCAAGTGAGTCTGTCACATATATTCTCATTTCATCAATGTGAAATGTAGATACAGGACAATACATAGGTCTTTAAGGCTCAAACGTAAATGGATAAGACCTTGTGAGATTGTCTGTTGGTACCACAGCAATAGTATTTGTATTTATTCCATTTACAATGCTATCAGTTATTGCGCTTGTGTTGATATTCAATACATCAATCGAATTTGTGATATTTGGTAGTTTTGTTCCATACTCTGTTTTTGTAATAAGTTTCTTTTCAAATCCAATTACGTCTCCAAATTTTGTTCCTCTCAAATCAAGTTGATGGTTATTACTAACTGAAATTAAAATTCGATAGGTAGATAGTATAAAAGTTAGATTGATTGAATACTCCTTTTCTCCTTTGGAGTCTGTTGAGTGATGGTTTTTTTGTAACATATATTGATGAATGTAATCATTAATATCTGAGTAGGAATACATTCCATCTGTAAAAGTAATTGTTTGCCATGTGGATCCATCGTGAGTATATTTGATTTTATTGTTGTCGTAATCACTTCTAATGTTGTACCAAGAGTAAGTCATGGACAGCCGATCAAGAGCAAGTTCGTGTTTCTTATCAGGGTCAAGTTTCAAAGATGGATTAAACTTTATAGTAAAATCACCAGGTCTGCTTGTTCCCCTTTTTTCCCTGTTTATTGAGGATATGTGGATAGCTCGTTCTTCCATTTTTATATAATTGGTATATAATTTTTTAGTAGATTATTTAGTTGTTTTTTTTAGATTACTTTCATTTGATTGAGAAGATGTGCTATTTGAGAAAACTCGGGTATTACACCATTATTCCCAGCAAGAATTGAACCACCGAGTAATTCAAGTCTGTCTAGGAGTTGATGTGGGTTGTTAAAGTAAATCATTCCTTCTCCCATTTGATACTCAAGTGAACCTAAATAAAGTTTAAGAATGTTTTTGTATTTATGTAGAAAATCGTTTTGCATTTTAATCCTTTCTATTTCTTCTTTATCTTCTTCTGTTTTATGTTTTTTTCTATTCAAACCAGCTATTTCTCCTGTAAAAACTTTTACATCATTTTTTACTTCATCAAGTATTTCTCTAAGTCTTTTAGGGTTAGTATCAAAAAAATCATTTGGCCTTGGATATTCCATCATTCTTAATATTTCTAAATCAACATCGTCAAGATTTTTTTCAATATTATAACGTGTAGGTGATCTTGGTTTAGATGTTGTTGGTTCTGGTAACCAATCTCTATCCCAAACTTCTTCGTTGGGATATGGTAATTCTCTCATATCAGCTAATCGGTTAAACTGTTCAAAACCTTGAGTAAGAGCAAGTTGATTTTTTTTAAGTTGTGCTATAGTTGCGTTTTGCTGTTCATCAATACTTTTTTTAATGCTATCTTGAGATTTAATAAGTGGTTTAAATGTCTCTTTAAAACCTTCCCGAGTATCTTGTTTTTGCCATTTTGTTATTTTTATGACATCTCTCACCTGACGAGTCAAAGCATCAGCTTCAATTTTATTTCTTGCAAGTTTTTTGTATTCTTCAATATCCATTTATCTATTCATTAGATAAATGGAAATACCAAACTATGATAGTGGTGACAATCCAGATAAAAAATATAAACAGTTATTTCCTTACATGCCATCAGACACATTTCGGATGTTAATCTGTGGAAACAGTGGAAGTGGTAAAACTAATCTGTTGTATCATATGATAATTAAACCACTACTGTATTATGATGAGATTTATCTTTACGCGCGTAATCTAGAACAGGATAAGTATCAAAAGCTAATTCAAAAAATGAGGGAGTTGAGTAGTAAACTAGGATATGAAATACTTCATATGAGTAATGATGAAATAACCCCAGTGTCAGAAATGGATTACGAAGACAATCAAAAACTTGTGATATTCGATGACTATGTTTGTGATAAAAACCAGAGACAACTGATTGATTATTTTATTCAAGGACGACATAAGAATTGTTCGGTGGTGTACCTCAGTCAGTCGTTTTATAAAACACCAAAAGACATTCGTCTGAATTGTTCTCATTACTGTTTATATGAATTTCCATCATCGAGGGAAGCCAACAGAATATCATCTGAGTTGGGAGTTAGTAAAGAAGATTACCGCGCAGCAACTAAAAAACCGTATTCATTTCTATACGTTGATAAACCAAGAAAACGTATTGCAAAAAACTTTACTGGTAATCTAACCAATAATTAAAATGGGAATATTTAACGAACAATCTTTAGATCATCCCTTTGCTAGGGGAATACAAGGTGCTCCAGGGGTTGGATTTAATCTCACTTCAAGTGGGGATTATGATATGATAAATAAAAAACTAAGAAATGTTGGTGCACCTAGTGCTAATACTGATGCTGCTACAAAAAAGTATGTTGATGATAATTCCAGTGGATCACCCCCAACATCACGACTAACAGTTGATTCAAACATAAATATGAATGATAGATACCGAATTACAAACCTTATCACACCACAGGATTCTAAAGATCCAGCAACAAAATATTACGTAGACAACACATTTCTTGACAGAGATGGATCTTACCCAATGGAAGGAAATCTTAATATGGACAATAATCAAATATTAAATCTGCCAGCTCCAGCAGGTCCTAAACAACCAACACCATTAGCTTTTACAGATTTGAAGTATCTCCACGTTGGTGGAACAAATAAAATGACTAATAATCTAAACATGGATAATAAGGGTATAATTCATTTGAAACCACCAACAAACCCCACAGACGGCGCAACCAAAAAGTATGTGGATGACTCAATACCTGATACTAGTTCTTTTATAAAAAAAGATGGAAGTGTATCAATGACTAGTAACCTAAATCTTGGAAACAAAAAAATAGTTGGTCTCGCAACTCCAACATCAAATACAGATGCGGCAACAAAAAAATATGTGGATGATAATGCTGGAAGTCCAGATTTAAGTGATTACTTGGAAAAAGATGGTACCGTCGCTATGACTGGAGACTTAAATCTTAACAACAATAAAATAGTTAACCTCAGTGACCCCACCACAGATCAACAAGCTGCTAATCGCGGATGGGTTTGTAAACAAATAGAAAGATTTGATCATCATTCTGGAGATGGAACAAGTGGTGTATTTACTATAACAGATCCAGCTGCGCCAACGACTTTGTATCTACAATATATCTCAGGTTCATCATTTGATGATTTTGTTTTTACAACAGCAGAACCTGGTCAACCTCTTGTAGGGTGGGCACCAACTGCTAACACATACATTAACAAAATAGAATTTCAATTTGGTTCGCGAAATATAAACGTTGACTTTCTGTGGTTTATTCCCAGAGATAACTCTCATTCCAATTCTAACTTTTGGGTAAGTGGAAATCGAACTGGCACTTGGTCATTAAATATTTATAAGTCTTGGAATTATAATATGTCAGGAGTAAAACTAAGAACCCATAACAATTCAAATCACACAGCTATCACTTGTCAGCTATTCACTGATCTACCAAAAGCAATAACCAAACCACTTAAGAGAATAGAAATCAACACACCTAAAATTGTAATAAGTGGGGTTGTAAAAGCTGATGTCAACCTTGGTGGTAATAAAATAGAGAATCTGGGTGTACCAACCCAAGACAATGAAGCAGTAACCAAAGGTTATGTCGACAAACTAGTTCATCTTACTGCAGTTCAACCAAGTCATTATAAAGATGAGTTTAGTTATCTCATGTCAAGTGGGGCTCAATGGACTGATGAAATAGATGGAGGAGTTAGTTTTATTATAAATAAGATAGGAGAGTTATCTCCTTTTAAAGGCAATTTTCATGACTATAACCACAAAGTAATTTTCATGACTATAATCAAAAATTCTCAAGGTAAATATATTTATAAGGTGGGAATTAATTTTTTCAGACTAGCTGCAAATACTGATTACACGTTGTGTTTGGAAATACTCAACACTGATTATAATCTTTGGAATAATACTCAAATAAGTGCTGACAAAGGAACTTCAACAGGATTATCAATTGGAAATTTAGGTGTAAAAAAACTATCCCATAAGTATACTGTTCCAAAAGGGCAAACACAAACTATGTACTACCATAGAATAATAGTTAATTTCCGGAAGTTGTCATCTGGGAATAAGTTCTTTCTTCACATTTTGGTTGATATTCTTCGGGGTGGATATAACCTGGCTTTGTATCCGAGACAGTTTTCAGGAGTTTATATTATTGCTTATGGTATTGAGGGTATATTTAGCAATATCGATCCAGATAAAGTTTACGACTATCACACCGCATTTGATATCTACCCAGGATATGTGATGTACAATGTTCCCCCCATCATAAATAGTAAAAAATTAGCACATATCAGTCTTGGCAGTATAAGTGATGATAACTTTGCAACAATTAAATCAGTAAAAGAGTTAATTCCTTTACTAGAAAAAAAAAATTTGTATGAAAAATACTTTAGTGAATTCGATGACTTTGCTGATGCGGATAGTTACGGAATAAATATAGGCTCATCTGGAGTTATTATTAATTCTTTAAAACCTAATATTACACTACCACCAAATAAAGACCTAAGTGAAATAGCAGAAAAAGGATTACATATTAATGGTTATGATATTACTTTTTCTCCTTCACATTCTTCGAAATCTACTTTATGTATTGTTTTTAGTTATTGGAGAAATAGGAGTTTTACCCTAACTAAATATTTATCAACAAACAATAATATTTTAGTAAAATTGGATTATAATAAATCAAACAATAAAGTAACTTTAACTGTCAACAAAACAACTCAAAAATTTACAATGCTAAGTAGTTTTAATGGAAAAATAATTGTTGTATGGCTAGCAGAAAATTTTAGAGCAAATGTTACAAAAGTTTCAATAAGTAACTACAGCTCAACATTAACTATACCAGCTGTTCAATACAATGCAACGTTGGAAGTTTACAACTGAAGATGGAGTGTTAATTAGATTAATGTACTCTCCAAACTTTTACGACACCGACTCTGAGCAATTTCACAAAGTAATGCTTCAAGAAAAGTTAAGTGGATCTTATATAATGTAGAATTATATAGATAAAAGAATAAATGAAGGATATCTTTGAATTTAATCACATAGATAAATCTCTGTCAGAATCAGACGTCACAACTCTCAAAGACTTTTACAAACATTATCATAAGAAATACTGGTGTTACAAAAAGTGTTATAAGAGTTACAAATTTCTTGATGATGTATTTTCTATCTCTGGAATTTGCCTGGTTGCAATAGGAACTATTACTGGTGGGATTACACTAAACCCCATTGTTCTAGGAGTTGTAAATGGTGCTGGGGTTATCGTAGCGGGAATTGGAAAGAAAAAAAATTATAAGAGAAAAATTGAAATGTCAAGAATTGCATTTACTACTTATGAAAAAGTATTAGTTGAACTCCGTGCAGCTCTTCGGGGAGATGAGTGGAACAAACAAGAGTTTGTTGATCGTATGAAACTAATAGATGAAATGATAATTGATCAGTCTCCTATAGCAGATAGATTTGCTAGTAGGTATAATGAAAAATTTAATGTAAAGGTTTAAAGATAAAAATACTAACAATAAAATGGATCAATTTGAAAAATGTGAAGAACAATTAATTTATTCCTACGAAAAAGCTTTGGCTGTAGAAGCTAGAGAAATCTGTGAAAAAATTGATTCTTTAATTAAAGATGATGATAAATTTTTAATAGAAAAAGCTCAAACTTATTGTGGTTTTTGTTTAAGTTTTAGAAAAGATTCTCTTGATAAAGATTTGTTTAATAAATGTCAAAAATTTAGTTATGATATTAGTAATCTCAGATCTATTAAATATAATTTGGATAGCATATCTGATACAAGAAAAAATCAAAAAAAATCTTTAGAAGAATAAACTACTAAATAATATAAATATTTAAATGTGTATTTTTTCTATCTTTTTTAGATGTAGCTGTTTTCAATATTTATCTAAATATTGAAAACTAATCTAAGTATCTAAATGAGTACTTATTTCCATTTTTCTTTGAAGTAGCTGTTTTAGATTTTTTTCTACAAATATTAGAAATATGAGCAGCATTAATATCCAATTCAATCGCTGCTGTTTTAATAGAAATAAATCTTCTTTCTTTTCCATTTTCAATATTGATAGGAATTATTGGTCTGTTAATACTTTTTTCAGCATTTTGTTTATGAGTAAGTAATTGCAGATTTTTTAGCCTGTTATCTGATTTAATCTCGTTAACGTGATCCACTTCAAAGCATCGTGGTATTGGTCCTAAAAAAACTTCGTATACAAATCTGTGTTGATAGTAATTTATTTGATTTTTAAGTCTTTTATCATATATTGTAAAATTAAAATAATTATTACCTCTTTTTTTATATTCATAATTTTTTTAGTTTTTACATTTATAACATCTCCATTTTTGCTTGCGGCATAATTGCTAAAAACAGGATGTTTATAATATTTTACTCCTTCAATTATTATTCTTTGTTTTTTACAATCTTTAATTTTATAATAACCAAATTTACGAATACAAGGTAATACCTTAGTAAATGTCCACTCACGAAACATTTTTGCAGCAGGTAATCTTGATCTAAAAACTAATTCGTAAAATCCTGCTTCGTTAATAAATATAAACCATCTGCCTTGGACCTGACCGCCCGTTTCAGGCGGGCAGCTTTTTTTATATACCTGACCCGGTGATTTGCCGGGGCAGATTAAAAGAAAAGTTCTTTTATTATTTTCACTTACATGTCTTTTTATAGCATGTTCTGTATTTTTGTACCCAAGTATCTGAGCAACTTCTTTAGATTTGAACCAGACCCTTAATTTATTATCAATGTACGAATTAAACTTAATTCCAAGATTTCTGTTTATAAATGTTTTTTTAAGCATTTTATTTATATTTTCTTATTCTTTAAACAGTAATTAATTTTTTATTATAAGTAATAATATAAAATGCTAAACACAATTGTGAATTATGTTAACTATTACTATCCTTTACACAAACATCTTCCCTATCCTGAATATCTTATAAAAACATCACNATTATTATTCTTTGTTTTTTACAATCTTTAATTTTATAATAACCAAATTTACGAATACAAGGTAATACCTTAGTAAATGTCCACTCACGAAACATTTTTGCAGCAGGTAATCTTGATCTAAAAACTAATTCGTAAAATCCTGCTTCGTTAATAAATATAAACCATCTGCCTTGGACCTGACCGCCCGTTTCAGGCGGGCAGCTTTTTTTATATACCTGACCCGGTGATTTGCCGGGGCAGATTAAAAGAAAAGTTCTTTTATTATTTTCACTTACATGTCTTTTTATAGCATGTTCTGTATTTTTGTACCCAAGTATCTGAGCAACTTCTTTAGATTTGAACCAGACCCTTAATTTATTATCAATGTACGAATTAAACTTAATTCCAAGATTTCTGTTTATAAATGTTTTTTTAAGCATTTTATTTATATTTTCTTATTCTTTAAACAGTAATTAATTTTTTATTATAAGTAATAATATAAAATGCTAAACACAATTGTGAATTATGTTAACTATTACTATCCTTTACACAAACATCTTCCCTATCCTGAATATCTTATAAAAACATCACTCATTTATAGATATTTATATGAAGTTTATTTTAAAGGAAATATAGATATAGAAAGAATATTTTATAAAATAGAAGATAGATCTATTAAATCTAATAATCCTATTCTAAATAATCATCTAATGTTTTACGCGGCTTTTAAATCTTTTCATAAACATTACAAAATTGGAAGAGGATGTGTATACACATTTGACTCTCCAATAAATAGTGAAGTATTAGGAAATCTAACTGGGATAATATATTGGATTTTTCATAAAGGAATAATATAATCTATAAATAAAATGGCAGCTGTTATTATTAGACAAAAAGATGTAAAACGTCTTGCTAGTACATTACTAAAAGAAATGTTTGGATTTTTACATGATGAGTATATACTCTCAGAATTTAAAGAAATGAAAGAAATACAAAAAGAATTCCTAAAAAATCTTGCTTTAAATCATATTGATACGTTACACAGACAATTTAAAATAACAGAAGAAAAAAGAGAAGTATTAGTTAAACCATTTATAGTTGATCTAATGAAAATTAGTGAAAATAGTACAGAACTTGAAAAAAAATGTAATTTTGAATATGTTTCAAAACTTGTAGAAAATGCTATGAAAGATGGGGGTATCGATACAGAAGGAATATATCAAACTCTTATTAATTTAAAAATAGATTCGGAAATAAATGAAGATTTGTATTATAAAACAAAAGCATTTTTAGATATCTTTAGAGTATTTGAAAGTGGATATACTTATTTAGAAGATTAAATTTTATATTTTTAAAAATATAAAATTATTTTTAGATAATTTTGGTTGTATACAGAACTAATTCAATCCTAACAATCTTCTAGCTTCTTCTCTTTTTAATTTGTAAAACTCTTTTTCTAATTCTTTAAGATAATTTTCTTTTGATATACCATCTGGTGGAATAGCGTCTTCAAAAAAATATTCAAATAAATCTCCATCATCAATTGAATCAAACAATTGTTTTGCTTCAAATTCTGGTTTTCCAACAACTCGCTTACTCATTTTATTTAAACATTTATTTTTTTAAGCCTTTATAACTATCCCACCACTTTTCATAATTTTCTAAAGTTTGGGGGCTAATCTTTAGATAAACTAGTTTATATTTTTCACAAACCATCTCTTCCAAAAGTTTTTTAATTAAATAAAAAATGCTTATCATTCTCTTCCGACAAAATTGTTTGTTTAGTATTTCCATGACATGGTTATCTATATTCATTAGTTTATTGTAAAGTTCATATTTTTGTTCATCAGTTAGGTTTATTCTTTTAGAAACTTGATCAACCTTTTTCTCATAGTGATACTTTCTCTGATAAATACTCTTTTTTCGAAAATGAAATCGATCGTATTCTTTAAAGTCAAAATAACCAAGAACATGACCATTAGTTGAGGGTCTCAATGGGGTTAACCGATAGGCGTAAAACGGCCAAAAATTTAGTCGATAGCCGTAAAAATTGAAAAATTTTAACCGTTAGCCGTAAATAGGGTAAGAAAGAGTTAACCGTAAAAGAAATTGTTCCCTGTATTTGTTAGTTTTAAGGAAGGTGCTAAACTCACTTATGGTTGCGTTTTTATTTCCCGGCTACTTTGACTGCGTACGCTCGTTAGGCCAAGCGCCTAGCTTTTAGGTGTTGACCTAGGCCACCTAGACCTAGGCTCCATTTCTGCCGCCGCTCTCTCGGGGAACTAATTTTTTTCATAGCGAAAATCTGGCTTTTTGCTGGGGATTAATATTTGAGATTTTCTAAAGGTCGTGCCCTCGAAATAACAGCAACACGCAGAGATGTCACTCTTTGTAACACGTCGACGACAAACAACAATTCCATGTAACAATTCTCTGTTTTTCTCTAACGCTACGGCGTCTTCCCACGCAATCTCGGTGAAGGCATTTCGGTGGCGTATCTGAGAAAAAAACTCGCTCGGACCACGTGACCCGAAACGCATCAGCCGCGCGAAATAATGAGGCCTACGGACAAGGCAACGGCAGACAGTCGTTCTGTACAGTCCTTCGCTATCATTAAAAACACTTGACATAGGAATTGTTTTACACTGGCCGTTTTAACACTACAGCTAGAAATGGATTATCCATCTGAGACTAGCCTGTGTACAGTCACCCCCTCCCCCGCAGACACTCCTTCTCCCCTCCTCCTTCTCAGGGGAGGGGGCGGCTGTACACAGGCTGCCTGAAATGGATAATCCATCTTCAATTAAATTGTCCGTCAAAATTGACGGAGAAAGCCAGGCGGAATGTTCTGATTCAAAATTAAAGCCATTCCATTTTCAAATTAAGACGTATTACCTATCTGACGCGAATTATCAAACGGATAATCCGTCTCACCCGAATAATCCGCCTCTTAGTGAGAAAACGGCCATTTCTGTTATAAATGAATGTCGCGCACCGGCCTTGAGTTAAGCGTTTGCGTCAGTCTGCTTTTGCTTTTTCACAAAGATTATTTTTAAATTGACTATTGACATTTGTATGGGTAAAATTATATTAGAAGTGGAATACTTCATCAAAAGTATGATCTATCAAATGTTAAAATTTTTCAAAAGAATGGCTTATTTCATCCCGAGATGATCCTAAGACCTTTATTTTGCTTTAAAGATGCAAAAAAAATACCGGTTTATTAATATTTAACTCCTTGAAACAAAAGAAATTAATTTTTAACTTTGTTGTTAACCGTAACTGGAAAAAATTAACCGATAGCCGTAAAAAAGCCAAAATTTTAGCCGATAACCGTAAAAGGCACCACCCCATTGAGACCCTCTTAGTTGTTCCACAGGAATCGCAAATATTATAACCTGATTCAACACAAAAACTATTGCTTTTACAATTACTACATCTAACTTTTCTAATCACATCCTCTGTTTTTTTAGTATAATTATGTAATATTTCTAGATATTTTTTTATTTGATCTTCTGTATATGTCATTTATTATTTAT